GACTCACAGCAACCCCTATGAGTCGGATCCGACTTGACGGCAATGAGTTTGGCTTTTTTTTTTTTTTTCCTGATGTGATCTAGGGGGAGCTCTGGTGGCATAGCACCTAAGACATTTGCTAACCAGAAGGCTGGAGGTTTAAATCTACCAGCCACTCCTCAGAAGGAAAACTGGGCAATCTATTAGTCTAGGAGCTTTCAGGCCAGTGATACCCATGGGACACCTAGAATTTGAAAAAAAGAAGGGAGGAGGAAGCTCAACTCAGGTTGCAGAGGGCTCCTTGATAAAGAAGAGCTCATAATATAACATTATGAAACACATACAAGGAAATATTCCACACAAAGAGAAACTCTACAGGCAAAACAAACTGTAGGTTTAGACTTCTGATAACTTCAGATACAAGAACTATCAGAAAGAAACTCATTCATTCACTCAACATATATTCAAGTACCTACCATGGACCAATTTCCAAAGTAAGTGTGGTTAAAAATATTGAAGATGTAAGAGAAGAAATTGAAAACAAGAGCTAAAGGCAAGATATTCTGAAAAAAGAACAGGAACATTATTTGAAAAAATAGAATTCAGAGATGAAAGAGAAAATGATTGAAATTAAAAACTCAGTAGAAGGGATTAAATAATTTAAAAGAATTATAAACTGGAAGACAGATCTGAAGAAAATCCTCAGAAATCAACATCAAAAGATTAAGAGATGGAAAACATGAGAGGTTAAAAGATGTGGAGAATGGAGTAAGAAAGCCCTGCATTTCTGTCAGAGGAGTTCCAGAAGAAGACAATTGAGAGAACAGAAGGTAGACCACAGCTGAAGAGACAGCGGCTTAGAAGATTCTAAGAACTAAAGCTCTACATGAATACTCAAATCCAGGAACCACATCCTGAGTAGGAAAAAATATGACTAATGTTCCACTTAAACTGCAGAATGGTATATCAAAGACAAAGGAAGTTTTCAGAAGCAGTGGGAGCAGGAGTCATAATACATACAAAGGAATAATAATTAGATACAAGACATTGCAAAAGCAACAATAAATTCAGAATAATGTCTTCAAAGTGCTGAGTGGAGATAACAGTCACTATTTAATTTTAGTATAATATTTTAATATAATAAAATATTAATATAATGCAAGACTGAGGGAAAATACTTTCTGAGTCAGTAACTGAGTTTACCATTGTCAGATGTACACTGAAAGGAATTATAAAAGGAGAACAGGAGTAAGATGCAAGAAAGAATGATATGCAAAGCAACTAGCAAATGGGGCTAAACCCAAACAAGCACTGACCGTTTAATAAATAAATAAATAAATAACCAACACAATAATGGTAGAAACAATGAGGCGGTGTTTGATTTTTATTAAATATTTTAGGAATTGTAAGCTTAGAAATGTGCCTCTCTCCATCCTACCACCTCCAGACCTTCCTTTCATGGACCTCCAAGCACTACGGGGCCACAGGGTAAGAGCTAAACTCTGATTACAATTTACAGAAGAAAAAATGCTACTTCTTACTGCTCTAGGATTATCAGGAAAACTTTTGAAGGCTGCTAACTAGCGGTCTTCAGCCTATTATCTGAGAGTCTCTCGCTTAGAGTTAAAATTACTCAAACAATAATGGTTCTTCCATCTCTACAATTCAATGAGGCCATTTGTTGTTGTTGTTATGTGCCGTCGAGTCAGACCCGACTCATAGCGAACCCTCCTTGGGTTTCCGAGGCAGTATCACTACGGAAGTAGATTGCGCCATCTTCCTTCCGAGAGCCATCCACCTTTTTAATAGGTTAATTTTGGCTCAACACTAGGCTCAAATTTCTAATCTTCAAACTAGGTACCTTTTCCTCCCAAGGCTCCAAAATTTTCTTCAGCCTCTTTAGATGATGGATCATTACATGTGAGGAGAGCAAAAATACATTTTCCAGATTAGTAAAAACTCTAAGAAGCCCATAAAATCTTTTGAAGAGGAATGGTAATACAAACATCCTTATATGTACAAGAAATAAGATGAAGAGACATGTGACTTGTTTTCAAAATAAATGTTCAAACTCAACTGTAGATACCAAGGGTTCAATTCAAGCATCTCTTCAAAATTTCACCAGAGAGATGCACTGAGAGCCTACCACACCTCATGGAGGGCACTGCACCCTGACAGTCCTGCCTCTGCAGATTCACATTAATGTCCTGACAGAGGCTGTACACTTGCCAGGGTGGGTGCAGAGAGAGAAGCCAGGGTGTTACAGCACCCAATACAATACATATATATGGGTTTTTGGGTTGGAAAGGAGTAGCAGAGAAGCAATTACATACAAATTAATACACATTAGCAACTACCTGAGGACAGAGGTAAAAGCAAGAGAGTAAAGGGAGTGGCACTTAGGATTAGATCTACCTGCACTGAGATATTTTTCCCTTACACACTGCTGTCAAGTTGGATCTGACTCATAGCAACCCCTCCTTAGGTTTCCAAGGCAGTATCACTACAGAAGTAGATTGCCCAACCTTCCTTCTGAGGAGTGGCTGGTGGGTTTAAACCACCAGCCTTCTGGTTAGCAGTCAAGTGCCTTAGGCACTACACCACCCTCGTAACTCCTATAAACAAAAAAACCCATTGCTGTAGATTCTATTCTAAGTGACAGCAAGCAGCAGGTCCATAAATTGCCAGTGCTTTATGATGCCTCAGCAAAGATCACCAGGATGTTCCACATTCCTGGACTCATCTATCAGGGAGCCTATTCCTTTGTTCATGTTGATGTTACCTGCTGGCAGGGCTCAGTCAGGTGCCTGGGGCTATCTCAAGAGAAGATTCCTTCTCTGTTTTGCAGAATGGAAAGATAGCAAGATATTTTTAAGAACACCCTAGAGAGGTGAATCTGAAGACTCATAAATCTAGTGTTCAGGAAGGCCAGGGCAGGCATTTGAGCACATGTTTCAACATAAGACATTTGACTGCTAACCAGAAGGTTGGAGGTTCAAACTCACCAGCTACTCTGCGGAAAGAAGATAGGGCAATCTACTTCCATGAAGATTTACTGCCTCAGAAACCCAATAGGGGTTGCTATGAGTTGGAATTGACTCGATGGCAGTGGTTTTTTTTTTTTTTTTTTTTAATCCTCAAATGCCTCATATTACCTGATATTGGGTTAGCAGCCTGAGCTCCTTCTGATCTCAAAAGATACCATCCCTACCCCACGGGGCCTTTATATATTGGATACGGCAATATCCAATGTCATGTGCCATCTCTGACCCTCTGTCTCAGAGTGACTCACTGAGTTAGGTGGAGGGAGAATGCTGGGAAGTATCAAATACCCATAACAACACTCTGAATTCTGAGGGGAAAAAAAAAAAAAAAAAAGCTCACAAGTATAATCACAGAAAATAATTTGATTTATAAAAAACAGTGGTTGCTTTTCAGGCACCTGCTGAGAGCTAGACACTATTTTAAAAGTTTTACAAGGCCACTTAGTCCTCAGAACAACCCACTAAGGTGACATCAGTAAAGTCATCTCACAAAGGACAAAACCGAAGGTCCTAGTCCCCTGTGCCATGAAAACACTGTCCAATGCTCCCTGATCAGCTTTCTGGCTGTTTTCGGCCAAGACAAATTATGTCACCCAAAAGATCAGACACAGGTATATATTTTCAAACCAGAAGCCAATCAATCAAATGTATTAATCAAATTATATCCTCGTTTCCTTGAACTAACCTCCTTAGCCTTCATTGGATTCATTAGTCTAACATATCTAAGATCTAATGTCTAAGAGATAACTTCATGACAGAGATTAGAGTCTCCTAACGGTAGCATAGTGCCTAAGGCGCTTGACTGCTAACCAGAAGGATGGAGGTTCAAACCCACCAGCCACTCCTCAGAAAGAAGGTTGGGCAATCCTACTTCTGTAGTGATACCGCCTCAGAAACCCAAGGAGGGGTCACTATGAGTCAGGGCCAACTCGACAGCACATAACAACAACAAAAAGCCAAATCTTGGGTTTGAATCCAGATCCTCCAATTACTACCCTATTATTTAACCTGTCTGTGCCTCAATTTCTTGGTCTATAAAATGGATATACAAGTAGACTCTCTTAGGTTATTTTAAGAATTGAATGAGAAATACTGTTCTTAGAACAGTCCTGGCACATAGCTCAATTTCTTCACTCTGTCAATATTTATTAATCAACTTCTATGTTTCTGGCCATGTTCCAGTTTCTGGGGATACAGCAATAAACAACAAACAGACACAAATTCCTGCCTTCACAGAGTCTGCATTTCAGATAATAAAGAGAGGGATACAATACACAGTATGTCCCATGAAGGTAAACACTATGGAGAAGTTCAAAGCAGGAAAGGGTGAGAGAAGGTGCCAAGGGCAGTGAGGTGTGCAAGTTGTAGTACAAAATAGGATGGTCTGTCTCCTTGAGAGGGTGACATTTTAGCAAAGACCTAAAGGAAGTAAAAGAGTTAAGCCATGTGACTATGTGGGGAATAGAACAGCGAATAAAAGCACCCAGTATGTTCAGGGACATCCAGGCAGCTGGAGTGGAAGGAGAAGAGTGAGCAGGCAAAGATGAGGACAGACAGATATTGGGAAGGTAGGGGGACGGACAGATATGGGTGCAGTGCTGTAGCTCCTGAAGGGCCTGTGGTCCTTTGGAAGGACTTTGGATTTTACTCCAAGGAAGATGGATATGGTGATGTTAGCTACACAGGCCCCCTTAGATGCTAGTGTCTGAGCTGAGGATACAGCTAAGGAGGGACAAGGTTCCTGCTCTCAGGAGGCTTACACTCTAATGGAAGACACAGTCAATATGACTAGGAGTTATTGGGGTAGATGGCAACATTAGAGAGGATGATCTCTAAGGAGGTAACATTATTGTCACTGCATAGCACTAACCACAGAGAAGGAACATTCCAGACCATGGGAACAGCAAGTACAAAGGCCCTGAAGAAGAAACAAGCCTGGTGATCCTGAAGGATGGCTAGAAGGCTGGTGTGCCAGGATCTTGCTGAACAAAGGGGAGGAAGATGACCAGGAAGGCATGGGCGGATCATACAGGGCCCAGTAAACTAGGATTAAGAGTTTGTGGTTTATCTTAAAATCAGATCACTGCAGGCTTTTAAACAAGAAGCATCATAATGTGCTGTACATTTTTAAAGGCCACCCTGGCTATTTGCTGGCAAATGGATTACTGCAGGCAAGAGTGCAGGGCAGAAGATAGTAAGGGTCTTGTAGGAGTGGTCCAGGCAGGAGACGATGGTGAGTTATACTGGGGTAAGCAGTGAAGAAGGATAAATCAATTTAGATTATGTTTTCTGTTCGTGACAGAACATTATAAGCTATTTATCAAGTGAGCTAATTGTTCTTCGCTTTTTCCCTGACTCAGAAGGATCCTGTCCTCCCCACCTCTGACTGGACCCTCTTGGGGCCCCCAGGATCCCGGGAGGGGAGACACTCACAGGCTGAGCCTCTTCACCATGCTCTTGCGAGGCTTGGGCGAGGTGGCGCTGGTGTCTGCAGCTGCTTCAATCTCACAAGAGAGGGCATAGCTGGGAAGGAGAGAGGTGTTGATAAGATGGGAGCTTGAGAATCAAGGAACATATTTAAACTGACCTGATTTAGGAACGGCATGCTTTGCAGGAAGGCTCTGATGATTCAAAGTAAGGATATACCTGTGAGTTCCACCACAAATGTCAGAAGGTACTGACTTGATGGCCAGATTTTACAAATTCACATACATCCTCCCCTCATCCCCACCACTGGTGCACAGGTTCATGCGATGGAGTTGTGCACGCCTCAAAAACAAAGGCAGCATCTCAGTCTGCCTCCGTCCTGTTTCCTGCTCATTCTCATCCTCCTGCTAGGCCAGGGGAAGAATTCTTTTGTTTCTGCTGCTTCCCTCCTGCTACTTTGTGTGCTGCACATCACACACATCTTCACATTTATCCAACAGAAATGAAAGAAACAAATCTTTGTAAACCTTCAATGAACAGAAATAAGCAATTATACTATTGATAAAGAAACATAAATATGATGCTTGAATTGCCAAAATATCCTAAGTTAAAAATGTTCCAGATTCAGACATCTATCTGCAAGCAAATCTATCTGCCCCAAACACTAGGGAAATCTGTATCTGCTCTGAAATGTCTTTTATGGAAGCTTGTGGCTCTAGCTAGTGGCTGTGCTTGGTTACTGGGTAAGTAAGTAAGGGTGCATGTGGTGATTATTGGTTTGGTAAGTTACTGATCATGTGAAGGTTTTTTTAAATGTAAAGACATATCCAGGTATTTGCTCATGTCATTCACTGACAAGATGATTATTCAAATACTAACTTAAGCTGTAGGAGTTTTTATAAACAGCAAGAAAAATAGGGTATGTTTAACAAGATTCCTTTAATCATTACAAAGTCAATTACACAGCTGATCTTTTGAGCCTGGATGTTCTGATACAAACCATGTATCCCATGGTATGTATTTCTATAGGTGAAAACAATCCACAAGAGATAAGAAAACTGGCCATTAGACTAGGCAATGTGAAGAGAGGGAAACATTGCTCTCTTTTCTCTGTACTAAGGAAAACTCTGAATCAGAAATTTTGTTTTAATGTACAAGGACCAAACCATTCTGGAATCAAAAAGGACCTCAGAAATCATGTTTTCAAATGAGGAAACTGAGGTTTATAGGGGCTGCATGTTTGCCCAACATTATGCAACCAACTTCACAGCTCAGTTTGTAGAGTCAGGCAAACCTCAGTTTGAATGCAAACTCTGTCACTTACTAGTTGTGATACTTTTCTAAACTTTAATTTCCTCAATGGCAAAATACTTATTTTGCTGTCATTTTCATTCTCCCTAGTGATAAACTGTAAAGGAAATCTCCTGGTCTATAGCAGAGACTTGCAAACTTTTCTGTAAAGAACCAGATAGTAAATATTTCAGGCTTCGTAGACCATATGGTCTCCGTTGCAACTACTAACTCTTCCATTAAAGCGTGAAAGCAACCATAGACAAGACATAAATGAATGGATTGTGTTCCAATAAAACTTTATGTATGGTCAATGAAATGTGAATTTGAAATAATTGTCCCGTGTCACTAAATTATTAGTCTTCTTTTGATTTTTTTCCAACCTATTAAAAATGTGAAAATAGGCAGTGAGCCAGATGTAGTCCATGTGACCAAATTTGGCAACACTGAACTACAAGATAAAGACTGAACCCCAGCTGAGAGAACATTAAAGGCACTGGAGTTAATGTACCTTTCCATGTACATCAACCAACACTTTCAACCTTGCCCCTTGTGTCCCAGCCAGACCAGAGTTCTCACTGTTCTCCAAATGCCAAGCATCTTCAGGCTGCTAGGGCTTTGCTTTACATTCCTCCTGCGATCTAGAATATCCTTCTATAGTTCTCCTCTCGGCAAAATCTTACATCTTCTTCACAGCCCATGCCAAATGTTAACTCCTTTATGACATTTAAGATATTTTCCTCATCCCCCTATCCTTGTCTAAATGAACTGCTCTTGCCCATAGGCTCTTGTAGCACGTTAGCTACCCCTCATCTTTTAATGCTTCATCAGTCTCTCACCCTGCACACTATAACTTTGCTAGTACAAAGTCAATTACAAAGCTGATCTTTTGTGCTTGGATGTTCTGATCCAAACCATATATCCCATGGTATGCATTTCCATAGGTGAAAACAACATACAAGAGATAAGTTCCTAAAAACTGGCCATTAGACTAGGCAATGTGAACAACTGCAATGAACAACTGCAACAAACATAGTGATGGAGGTGGAGGCGATAATGATGAGTAGGATAATGAGGATACAAATTTTAACAGTGTTTTTCCAAGTATTATTTCACTTAACTGTCACAAGCAAATATTTACAGATGAGAATCCCAATGAATGGAAAGAATAAGGGATTGTTCGAGCATCTTTAGGCTGCTATCTATTAACAAAGATAAATAAATGGCAGGGCGAGAATCTGAAAGCAGAACTTCAGTGCCATCAGTTCAGCTCTTTCTGCTGCTCTGGAAATGGAGGGTGCAGAACCTAGTAGCTGTTCACCACATACAGTGAAACCTGTGAGAGTCAGAACTCGATGGGAGTGCCTTGTTTTTCTGGGTCTCATGTTTTTCACCTCTGACCGGGTGCAGTCTTACCACTTTCCTATAGCTTGTTTTAGGGGAAAATACATTTTCCTTCTCTGACAGGTTTCCACCATACATAGGTTCTGGCTTTCACAGGTTTTACTGTAGCTGTTGAGTAAACGACCAAATAAGGAACTGGACGCAGTACTCTTCTCGCCAACACCTCAGTTCCCCCTGATGGGCAATATGTTGGCCTACCTCTCCTCCTCTGTTAGAAGCTGCTGCCTCTGGAACCACTGGATGAACTTTTGGTCTGGGGTCATACAATAGCTGTTGCAGGCAGACTGTAATAGCTTTATCTGGGCAATCACTTCAAATTCCTGAAGCAGATAGAACATCAAAAAGAAGGAGTGAAAAATAAGGCCAAACAAATATATATCTTTTCAACAGGAAAATAGGCTACAGTAGGATAAACGATGGAGTAAACCATTGAGGATGACTTTGAAGCACTGCTTCCTTACAGATAATATACATGAATAACTGAAAAATCCCAATTCTGAATCTCTAAAGTCTTCCTGCACTCAAGTAACTGCCGATCCTCCTTTCTTCTTCAGAAACAATTTATACAAATCACTAACAGATCATGACTTCCTTTTTCTTTTTTTCCATTTTCATTTTTAGGATAGAAATGTTATTTTTTGAGGTTGAGTATTTCCTAAAAGTTACGAAAAATTTGTATATCTATTTCCTAAAAGATAAAGAAAAAAATGTTTTAAGTAATGGAGCTCCCCAGCATCCCCACCATCTTTTTCAACCCTTACCCTCAGTAAGTAAGTTTTGGTAGGCTTGAGTATCTAAATGATCTAGGGGCTCATAAATTTGAATGTTTAAATCTCCTAGATCCTTGGGGTTTTACTGCTCCAGTAAATCATTTAACTAAATCTTTTAAAGCTCACAAGAGAAGCAAATATGTAATTATATCAAAATTACTTAGACTGTTTTAGATGCTTCAATAAAGTTTGTTTTATGTCAGTACAGTTTTTAGCTTTAGGTTTCATACTCAAACTTTCCAAATGTTTAAGATTCTAGTCTTAAAACGAAAGAGATTACCATCTAGGATCATTCTAAAGTTAAAGGACAAAGATGGGTAACCATGGAGGTTATAACTGAGTTTTTTGAATCCTTACATAACATGACAAAAGAAACATAAGAACAGATTCCTTGGGTCTCAAGTTCCCATTCAGTGACTTCAGCTCTTGGTCTCAGTACCGTCAAAGAATGTTTATCAACATGGTAAAGAAAGCATACTCTACCGGGGCCAGATGACTTACGTCTGTCCAGGTTAGTACCCTGTCTGTATGATCTATGTCTGGTTAACCCCTACCGGCCCTTTAACTTCAATGTAATTTCCTCCTGGAAATTTGACCCTATAAATTAGAGAAAGATGCCTTCCTAACATTCTCATATAATACTCACTACTTCTGCTCATAAGCCCTTATCAGGATATATTATAATTGCCTTTTTTTTTTTTTTTTTGGTCTATCTCCTTTCTGGATTGTGAATTTTATGAGAGCAAGGAGCTCTGATTTTCTCTGTTGCAATGTCAAAACCTATCATAGTATCTGACCCGTGTCAGTTATGCAACCAATACTCGTTAAATGCATGAATGACTAAAGAACAATGAGAGAACTAGGCAGTGAAATTATTATTTTTGTCACTCACTTCTCTTTAAATCTTCTATATATCTATTTAAATATACCATTTTAACACAAAACCATACCAAATCTTCAAAGCTCTATCTTTTTTTCTTTTTTAACAGAGTTCAGAACTTTTCTACTATTCATAGAGAAATTCAAAAAGATATTTAACACCACTTCCTATGCTGATAGAAAAGGAAAAATAAATAAATAATAACCCACTTGTAACAGTGAAGAAAGGAGCCTGAGGTATAGTAAATTACTTAGTGTGGCTTTTCCAGCCATAAGTCTTTGTAAACTCTGTGGTAGAGTTTGCTGTGAGCAACTGAGGTGCTCCTGATTGTAAAAGTTATCCACCTGGCGTATTTCTGTTGGGCACAACACAAAGCAATGGTCTGGGAGGTTCCTGCTCTCTCCAGGTGCTTAGAATTCTGATGTTATGATTGGCTAGTTTGGCCACTCTGCCAGGATCAAAAGGAGGCCTCCTAGAGGCAGAAGAAGTCTCTCTCTGACTGCTGGTTGAGGAAGACATGCTCCTGAAAGAGACATGTGCTCCTGAAAGAGACATGTGCTCCTGAAAGAGACACACGCTGCTGGGAAAGAGACGCAAGAGACATGCACTGCTGAGTGAGACACCGAGGACACGTACTATTGGGAGAAAGATTGTTAGGAGAGAGACTGTGGGCTGGGAGAGAGACTGAGCATTTTTCCTGAACTTGAATTGTAGCCTGGTGCTTCCCTAATAAACCCCATAATCTGTGAGTTCTGTGTGGCCACTATAGTGAATTATCAAACCCAGGAGAGAGGTGGTGAGTGCTTTGGGAGGAACAGTTGGTGAGAGGGCTAGAGGAAGGCAGCAAGTCTGACCTTGCAGTAATAGGCCTTTGTCTACTGATGGCGATTCTGTCTTCCTCTTGTGGGGTTAGAGGAGGTCAGAACATGTGGCCTCCTTACCGTTTTTGCAGAGCCTCAGTGGTACAATGGTTGAGCACTTGTCTGATAACCTACAGGTCAGCAGTTCAAACCCACCAGCCACTCCACAGGAAAAAGATGTGGCAGTCTGCTTCTGTAAAGATTATAGCCTAGGAAACCCTTTGGGGAAGTTCTACTCTATCCTATGAGGTCACCACCAGTCAGAATTGACTCAATGGCAACAGGTTTTTTTAAATTTTGTTTCGTTTTATTTGCTTTAGCAATGAAAATAACTTCCTTTCTTTTCTCAAGTAGCCCCCAAGACTTAATCATCTTTATTTACTCTTCTATAGCCCTTGCTATTAATGAAAGCCTGTTCTCCTTAATAAAGTGAACCTGTTATTGTTGCAACTAATTGTAAAGGAGGAGATGAGAAGCAGTAAGGAAGAATTGTGGGCTTTGGAGCAAGGCAGAACTGGATTTAGACCTCTGCTCTCAGGAAACTTGGTCAAATTATGTAATCTCTGAGCCTTGACTTCCTTACTTTTGAATTGAGGGTGATAAAACCTACCTTCAGACATTCTTAGGGGATATTATATAGCCACATGCCAAGTACAGTGGCATATGATAAATAGTTAATAAATGCTAAATTGTTTTTCTTTCTCTACAAGAACACTTAAATCCCCACTTTCTTCACTTTTTTCATTCCCAGATAAAGTAAAATGGAAAACCACAGCCAAGGCCTCTACTTACCCTTCTCCTTTTCTCAAAGTTTATCAGCCCACCCTGAAAAGGAAAAAAACAGTGACTAACAAAGCTACTTTGAAACACAGCTCTATGTTGTTCTAGGTCACATTAAAATAGATCAAAGGGATGATAAAGTCACAATCATTAATGAATCTATAATTACGGAGGAAGAGAAAACCATCTTTTGCTTCAAGAAAAATAGACATTCTTTATATAATAGGGCAGGAGAGGCAGATAACTTTGTCTTAAAATATCCGAAACCAACTGCAATAGTAACGATAAAAAAAAGTTACATATCAGCATTCAATACAAGCCAGTAAAGGAGAAAGCTCAAGCAAATATTCCATTGCACTTTCTCCCTTGACCCAAGGCAACAAAAACAGATGGTCATTGACTCATACTGGAAACCAAATGTTGTTGTTGTTATGTGCCATCGAGTCAGACCTGACTCATAGCAACCCCTCCTTGGGTTTCCGAGGCAGTATCACTACAGAAGTAGATTGCCCCATCTTCCTTCCGAGGAGTGGTGGTGGGTTTGAACTGCCAGCCTTCTGGTTAGCAGTCAAGTGCCTTAGCCACTATGCTACCAGAGGTCCCTGGAAACCAAAGAGTCAATGGTTTATCAAAAGAGAAGTCACTTCGATGTATCATAATGAGAAGTTAAGTTTCAATTCTCAATCTTCCCACCTCCTGTTCTCAGTAGGCTGAATTTAGCTTCTAAACCACTGGTCACTTCCAAAAAAATTCCCCATCACTCACAGGTGTTTCCTGAGATACAGAGGATGTGACAGATGTAGAATGCAGGAAACACAAAATGAATGAGCACGTCCACAACACTAATGATAAACTTGTAGGACAGTATATGCTAACAAACTGCTACTTCTAATTATGATTCAGTGAAAGCAAGTTGATTGCATGTGATAGCCAGGGAGGTGGATGAACTTTAATATAAAAGCAAACCTTAACTGTCATTTAAAATTCCTAGTTTCTTCTCTACTTAATATTTTATAACTGCTAATAACAATTAGCTTGCTTCATGGGGTCTCACCTCTTATCCCATTCCATGGAAAACAAACAGACCAAAAGAGAAAAATAGCCCCAGAACAGGTAATGATAATTTAAAAAAAAAGGATGCTTGACCAAAGACAATCCATAAATGTGACTTGAGTCCCCACCTTACCAGTTATAATGTTAAAAGCACATTATCCCCTCAACTCTACCTGCTAAAGACCTACTCAACATCAAGGTCTTGCTCAAACCCATTCCTGCATTAGGCTTTTTCATCCTACACCCTCATATGGATTATGCTCACTCATTTTCCTTTGAATCTTTTCAACACACATTTAAATATTTGTTCTTATTAGATACTGTCAAGTCGGTTCCAACTCATAGCAACCCCATGTGCAACAGAACATAATGTTGCCTGGTCTTGCACCATCTTCACAAGTCGTTATGATATTTGAGCCCACTGTTGCAGCTACTGTGTTGATCCATCTTGCTGAAGGTCTTATTATCCCATTTTATCCCTCCTCTATTTTCTCACTGCATTTTGGTTTGCATTTTGCTCTCTGTCACTGCCTGCTTTAATATATACCTCCACTGGATTTTGAGCCACTTCTGGTGTTACTCACCTTTACATTCCTCAAAGAATTTAGCACAAAACAGTGTACATAGTGGGCACTCTATAGATACTAATAAAACAATTTTTCATATGGGTTTTAAATAAAAAGGATACCTGCACAGAGCTCACCTCAATGTAGTCCTGAAGAGCAGTATCAAGCATGGTCAGGTCAGTCAGGAAGGTCCCCAGGTAGGGCACAGTTCCCTGCATCACACCCTGAAGAGCAATCAGAACAAAACTATCTTTATTGTTATTAAAAAGTTTAAGGGTCTCAGGAAACTCCACACTGCAGCAAAGCCTATTCTGGGCTAAACTTAGCAACCTGCCCATTTGCAGATGGAAGCAGTAATCTTTAAATGACCATGTAAGCCTTGACAAAGTTTGGAGAATAATTACAGGCTATTCAAGGCCTAACTTAAAGCCATTAGTGCTAACCTCCTTGAATGAAAATTTCAAAACTCATACACAGATAAGGTAAGAACTCAATCATCAAATGCATAATTTTCAAAGTCATGAAAACCAAGTCTCAAAGCCAGGAGATCTTACAAGTATGTTCAAGTGTGTTCACAATTGGGTTTATACTTTGCTTAGGTTCAGGGTCAGGAGGGACACCTGTTCTGTAGGAGGTGTGGACACTCTTGGTGGTTCAGAGTGGCCCTGGATAGTGACGATCTCACTGTATGTCCAGGAGTGGGCTTCCACATGACCAAAGAGAAGCATGAAGCACAAGAGTATGAGGAGCCACTATTACAATGGTTCTTCGGGCTAGACTTAATGACTCACTTCCAGAGAACAGAGGAGGCAAAGGGAAATACAGTAACTTAAAAGTGGAAAAACTGGCAAACTCTACCTTGACCAAGTGGTGAAGGTTAATATCACTAGTGACACCACTGACACCAGATGGCTAGGATGATCTCATGCCCGCCCTATTGTGATGTGAAGAGAAGCGCACTTCACCTCTGATATTCTTCCCCAAAACTCATAACCCAAGTCTAATATTTAGAAAAACAAGAGACAAATCCAGAGTAAGAGATCTTCTACATGATACCTAGCCAGGACGCCTCAAAAATGTCAAATTTATTAAAAAAAAAAAAAGAACAGCAACATGCTAGGCCTCTGGGGAGAGAGCTAAAGGCAGTGTGGTACACTGGATTGGATCCTGAACAGAAAGAGGATACTAATGGAAAACTGGTGAAATCCAAATAAAGTCTGCATTTTAGTTTATGCTATTACACCAGTGTCAGTTTCTTGGCACTGACAGATGTGCCACAGTTATTATGTAAGATGTTAACAACGGGCAAAAGGGTGAGGAATTTACAAAAACTCTATGGACTGTCTCTGTAACTTTTCTATAACTCTAAATTTTTCCAAAATACAAAGTTCACTAAAAAAAAAAAAAAAAAAGTACCTTGGAAACCTACGACTGTAAGTATACACTATATTCATTTCACCAAATTTCCTTTGAACTCAATGCTATTCTCCATAAGGCCACTAAATCACTAACCATTTCGAAGGGAAAATAAAAAGAGGTTTTCATGGGCACCTTCTAAATTCCATCAAGGCACTTATGAAATTACAGCAGGAAAGCAAAGTCTCACCCAGGGCAAAGCCAGCTGCTTGACATGAGGTTGGCTGTTTCCACAGCCAGAAATACTCCATGAGGTTCACACTAAGGCAGGGTCTGTCCTTCAGGAACTCACTGTCAGCTGCAGTTTGTCCTTCCCCATTATGTGTACAAGGTCTCATCCTGAAGTAAAATAATCTTTTTTTTTTTTTTTTTGGTAACAGCCACTTCTAACTTATCTTTGAACAAGCCAAGAAGTTTGAAACAATGTAAATGTTTTACAGGCTTTATGCCACAAAAGAGTCCTATCATTTGAAAACAAGGTTTCTGCTTCATGCCCAGCTTTCCAAAGCAGGAGAAAATCCTCCTCAAATCAGCAAGCTGGGATGAGAATGTTTAGGCTTCAGACTGACTGACTCTTAATTTCCTCCCTCTGGTCCCCCCCTACTGTGCTAAAAGCTCGGAAAGTTTAAAATAAAGCTAGAGATGATAACTGGCTTTCATTTTTTCAGTGTTAAGGAGGAAGCATGTTTAGGGTTCCTTGTGCTCCATGGAGTACTAAAAAAATGAAACAGACTTGGTTAGTCCTTGAGTTTGGATAGAAGAGCTGGAAAATAACTGAAGGGTTCAGAACAAAGAAAAAAATCTGAAAACCAAAACCAAATCCTTGGCAACCAGGTCTTGAGCCACTACATACCCAAAGGTGACTGCACTAAGGCCTTTGTCTGCTCTGTCAGTGAACTAAAAGTCCAGGAGGGCTCAAGGCCAAGGTGGCAGCAGCTTGTAACTGCAGGGGTGGACAGGAGACAATGACAAACGGGACAGAAGTCTATCCACTACAGTTCTAGCCCTGCCTCCAGGAAAAAATACCCAGAAAGCAATATAATTTGCAATTCTCAATATTTATGTCCTACTAGGTCAAACAGGGATAATCACATCTTTCCTTCTGACCTCCCAGGGATGCTGAGAACAAATGAAGTAAAGAATGGGAGAGGCTTTTTGAAAACATGAAGCCCCTGCTGACTGAAGGTGCTGGTGCCGGGTGGGTGCCCAGCCTCCCGAGCTGGGCTGCTCTCCGGTGGGCTCTCAGGGAAGGATAGCTGTACATACCATGTCTTTCTGGAGCTGAAGCCGCCTCTGAGTACGCTTCTGGTTTTCTTTCACACTGCTGTCCAGGTTTGCAAATTTTGATGTTCCTTCCTAAGAAACAGAAGCACACAAAAGAGAAGAGTGATGGAGGTAGATACTACAGAGAAGTGAAGCACAAGTGTCTGAATGTCATGTCAAAAAAAAAAAAAAAGGATATACTACTTATACACAGAACAACACAATTATGCTAAGCCAAAGAAGCCAGACCAAAATACACACATATTGTACAATTACGTTTATACAAAATGCTTGAAAATACAAACTAATCTAGACAGAAAGCAGATCAGTAGTGGTTGCCTGGGATGGGGTCAGTAGCTGGGGGGGCAGGGATAAAGGGGAGATTACAATTAGGCACTAGGTAAATGTTTGGGCATGATCGACATGTTCAGTATCTTGATTATGGTGATAGTTTGACAGATTAAAATTTTTCAGTCTGTACACTTTAAGTATATGCAACGTATTTGTATGTCAATCAGACCTCAATAAAACTGGTTTTGTAAAAAGAAAAAAAAAAAAAAGGAGGTCTCCAACAGACTCTCTGGGCTCTATTAATGTGATTACGCAAATGTTGACCGGCTTGTTACAAGTGGTCTATTTGTAATTAGGCCAGGTGGTCTTAGATTATCCTAGTTTTCCCCAGGATTTATAAGAAGAGTCCTTGATTTAGTTACAAAATCAATCATCAATACAAAGCAGGCCACTCCCGGATCTGGTGGTATAACTTTTACAATCCCAAATTCATCAATGACCTAGAAACAAGGATACCATCCTCCATATATTTTGTGATTTCTTGATCTTGGCCTGAAATGGATGTGCCAGCTCTCTGTGAAAGAGAGTGACTCTTTCTTGGCTAAAAGAAACTTTTGTCCTGCAAGTTTCTGAGGAAGTCCAGTATCATGTACAAAACAAATCCATGAAAGCCAGAAGCTTCGATCATTTCCTCTTTCCCTTTCACCCCCAACCAATGCTCCCAAGTGGCCTCTCAGATTTGGAACTCTGACAAATCAATCCTTCCTCCTGGTGCCTGAGGACAGATGGCTGCCCTTTCTTTCCTCCCTTCTATCTGTTGTAACAACAAACTCTTCTACACAATGACTAATCTTGAGTTTGCTGACTGAACATAAACTGTTTTCGGTTTTGTGGTTTCAGAGTCTAGCTAAGTTCTCATTTTCCAGGAACTGTATGAATGGAAGGCAAATTTCACAATTCAGTAGGGTTTAACCTCTGATGCCTCATCTACATTGGTTTTTCCTTAGTCAGTTTTCCCTGGATTTATCACGTTATGCTAGCATGTACCCTTGCACTACTGAACAACTAACAAGGTTTCTTTTTTCCGGTGCCTTGGCCTTGGTGATGGGAGGAAGCATCAACATAGTCCATCATTCCACTGGGGTCAGATTCTACAGTGGCTCATTATCTATTTTAATTCTCCTCAATAAAAACGTAATAAAGAGAGCTACCATTGATGATCTTCTTCTTCTAATTTTCTCTGAGGATGAATGAAAGTGGCCTAAGATGTGCCATTTCCTGCCCTAGGTGGTTGTGAGCCCTTCCCAAATTCTTGAGAAGTTGCTTGGAGTTAGACATCAATGCTTTCTGACTTGAATGAGAACGGCAATCTCTTCCCAGTTTGTAGGTCCTCTGGCTTCCTTCAAGTCTCTTACTCATTTGCAGAGGTTGTAATGTATGAAGATTACTGTCTATATCCTAAAATGAAATTCTTAGTAAGAATTTCTCAAAAGTCTAACAAAAAACAAACTAAACTCACTGCCATCAAGTCAATTCAACTCACAGCGACCGCTCCTTGGGTTTCTGAGGCAGTATTACTACGGAAGTAGATTGCCCAGTCTTCCTTCCGAGAAGTGGCTGGTGGGTTCGAACCGCTAGCCTTCTGGTTAGCAGTCAAGTGCCTTAGGCACTACACTAAAGGCTCACAATAATTACAGAAAAATAGAGACAAGAGGATCTTAACAGAGCACAAAGGACAACCTCTTCATTGGTAACAGAGATGAAGACTGGAGATGGAGTGCTAAAAGAGTTAATTTCATGACTTCATGATTTCCTAAGAATATGATTCCATCCCTTTCTGGTGCACTAAAGAGAGTAGGGCCAGTTCTTTCTAACAAGGTATCAACTGAAGATCCACTTATTTGTCATACCCTATGGTTTCAGATTTTTCTTTCCTCAATCTGAAATCCTCTGCTCTGCAATATCTCACAATATCAATCCCTTAAAACTTCTTGACATTTTCATAGGTTTTTGTGACTGCATCCCTGTGGTTCTCTCCTCCTGCCTCCTTTGCTGCTCATGTTCACACTATCTGAGTGATTCCTCTGCTTTCTGCCACAGTCATCTTCCTGTTCTCTCTCTTCTCTTGTCTTTAGAAATATTATCCAATCCCATGACATCAATCCAATCATTGTCTGTGTCTGGATGAATTCCAAATCCCTCCCTCACCTCTCCTTTCCTCTCCCCCAGTTTTAAGCAGCCACTCCTCGGAAGGAAGATGGGGCAATCTACTTCCATAGTGATACCGCCTCAGAAACCCCAGGAGGGGTCACTATGAGTTGGGTCCGACTCAATGGCACATAACAACAACTTTAAATTAAACTTCTCACCTGAGTGTCACCCTCTATCTCCATAGTTAGGAGAGTCTCGCTGTCCTCATTCATCCTGTTCCTGGGCCTCAGAGGGGCCTCTTCTTCTTGGATGCTACACAGGCATTAGATCCTTCTCAATGTTTGTTCAATTATAGCTCAGAAACTAATGGCTATTGTTATTCATAGTCTTAGCAGTCTCTTGCATTAAATGACTCCCCTGGCATCTGACTAGTTAGCTCCAACATTGACTTTAGTGTGTTTGGGAGCCCCACTGAACACACATCTCCACCACAGCCAAATTTCTGGGCCTTCCTAGCAATTGTTTATATTAATCCAACCGAGGATAATTCTCACCAATGGTCCCAACAACCAAAAGATTTTATGGTGGTCTGCTTTCCTGCTATTTTAAAATGTGGGGGCTGTATGATTTACCTGCTCAGAATTATGTAAGTTTCAGAAATCATGAAGAAATAACAGGTTTCGTCTTTGGGAAGAAAAAATAGAAACCCTTTTTTCCAACAATTATAAGGAAAACCACAGATTTTTGCTAATTATTGTGTTGCCTGGGCAACATGTATGATAGAATGGCACATTACATCAACCTAGAAGTAAACACTAAGGGCAGTTCATTTAAGACTAAGGTATCCAACAAGAAATCAGTACAAATCCATATCAGAAACAGAAGCTGGCAGTTTTTCTTAGTGATTCTTTTGAGAACCTACATGTCTTGATTTCATTTTCAACAACTGCAGAAAATTAACATCCAGAATTCTACACTTCGTATGAAGAATGATCAACAAAGATGCTTAGAAAGGGACATACATATACACATAGACGGCCCCAAACACTCCACTGTCATGAATAATAATGCACAGACTCTGTTCATTCATAGCCAAGTTCTTCATTTCTTTGAATCTTGAACTGTATATAAGAAATTTAACTTAGAGTACTGGGGCAGACTTTTGTGTTTAAGAAAAGTTTATGGGATCTTTAATATCTCGATACAGCTTTGCTTCTAAGGTTTCAGGCAAAGACCCCGCCCCAGGCAGCAAGCCGCACAGTATTCAATTTATCTGCTTTGAAAGGATGACTCAGGGCTGTTGGGATTTGAATGTGCGGCTCCAGTTAGTCTAGCTTCATATTACTGACAGTGAGACCACTAAGCCATTTCCTCCCAGTCAGAAGTGTTTCCATTTAAAGTCTACAGATCCAGGGGGATGGGAACCAAGAGAACAAGACCTCAGCAAACATTGTTTAATGTGCAGTTCATCAGGTAGGCCAAGTCCAAAGTCAGACATCAGCATAAACTGCACTGCTCCTATCATCTCCACCAAGAAGGGCTAAGAGTGAGCAAGTTGTTAAGATCACATGGTCTATCAGTTGATGTTGTTAAACAATATTTTTTGAACACTAGGGGTCGCTATGAGTCGGGGCCGACTCAACGGCAAATAACAACAACAACAACAACAACAACAGTTACATGACTAGTCCCTGGAGAAGAGTATCATCCTTGGTAAAGTAGGGGATCAGTGAAAAAAGGAAAGACCCTCAGTGACATGGATTGACACAGTGGCTACAATGATGAGCTCAAGTGCAGCAACCATTGTGAGGATGGCATAGGACCCAGCAGTGTTTTGTTCTGTTGTACACAGGTTGCTAAGAGTCACAGCTGACTCGATGGTACCTAACAGCAACAACTACATGCTAGATATTGTGTTAGAGATTAAGGATACAAGAGTGAAAAAGATATACCCAGTACTGACCTCAAGAGGCTTACAGGAAAGTACACTGACACACTAAGTATGCAGGCCAATTCCAAGGGATCAAGAACAAGTACCAGGACAAAGGAATGATGGGCTTTAATAAGGAAGGCATCTAATAAGCCTTGGGAGAGTCAAAGAAGGTTTCCAGGGTATCTACACTGACACATGAAGGATCAGAAGAACTTAGGAAAAGAGCAGTCACGAAGACCCTACAGCTGTGCCCTTGTAGGACGACTAATCTAAGGGTTGTCAACTGGATGCTTTTTTTAGTAATCCCTGTTCCACTTGTTTGTTTATCCCCACCCTAAATGTCCTCACTATTTTCACCTATGTAGCTTATATTTTATTTATTTGCATTTGTCATACATTGTCCTGGATTGAACTGTGTCCCCTCAAAATATATGTCAACTTGGTTAGGTCGTAATTCAAAGCAGTTTGGCAGTTATGTAATGATGTAATCTGGCAATTATGTATGGATATAATCATCCCCTATGATGTGATATGATATAATTATCCTCCATTTGTGATATATTGTAAACCCTGACCTCTATGTGTTAATGAAGCAGGATTAGATTATATTAATAAGGATTAGGTTATGTTTGTTATTTAACGAGGCAGGATTAGGGTAGGATGCAACACTCTTACTCAGACCACAGCCCTGACTGGATGTAAGGAGAGTTTCCCCAGGAATTGGCCTGCATCACCTTTTATTTTACAGGAGAGAAAAGCCAGCAGAGAGAGAAGAAACTCAGAACCATGAAGAAAGAAAAGCTGGGAGCAAAGTTCATCCTTTGGATCCAGGGTCAATCCTCTGAGAACCTCCAAGACCCAGGGGAAGACTGATGCCAAGATATATGTAGATCTCCAAGAGACCCCAGGCCCACAGATGTTGAAAAGAGATAAAGACTTTCTCCCAGATCCAAAAATGAGAGAAAGTTTCCTCTAGAACCAGCACTCTAAATTCAGGCTTCTATCTTCCTAAACTGCAAGAATATAAATTTGGTAAAGCCATCCGCTTTTGGTATTTCTGTTATAGTAGCATTAGAGAACTAAGACATGCATACTTTCAGGGCTGACTGAAACACATAACAACAACAACACATAACAACAACAACAACATAGCTTTCCACATACTAAAAATAAGATAATAATTTTAAAAACAGTGCTTTCAAATATTTTACCTTAGTCAATCTTCAAAATAATTCTATGAAGTCAGTAGACCAAATACTACTATTATCTCCAATTTACAGAACAGAAAACTAAGGATAAGAATCATATCTTTTAATTGCACAGTTCAGGGCTTCCTTTAATGGTAGTACTTACCATACTATTTTGGAATTGTCTATTTTTCTACCTCCTCCAACCCCTATGAGATCAGGGACTGTCTTTTATATGGTTGAACCTCCAAATTTAGAACAGAATGAATCCTCAATTAATCTCTGAATAGATTATTGATTACCTTCTCTAACAAGCTTTTCTACCTGTGTTTTATTGACTATGCAAAGGCATTCAACCGTGTCAAATGTCAAATTATGGCTAACACTGCAAAGAATGGGAATACCAGAACAAATAATTGTGCTCATGAGGAACCTGTACAAACACCAAGAGGCATTCGTTCAAGAGTACAAGGGGACACTGCATGATTTAAAATCAGAAAAGGTGTGCATCAGGGCTGTATCCTTTCCCCATACTTATTTAATATGTATGTTGAGACAATAATCTGTGAAGCTGGACTATATGAAGAAAACCAGCATCAGGATTGGAGGAAGATTCATTAATAACCTGTAATATGCAGACAACACAATCTCGCTTGCTGAAAATGAAGAGGACTTGAAGCACTGATGAAGATCAAAGACTATAGCTGTCAGTATGGGTTATACCTCAACATAAAGAAAACAAAACTTCTCACAACTGGACCAATAAGGAATATCATGATAAATGAATCACAATCAATGTCCATGGAAACAGCAGTCAAGAAATCAAAATATGTATCAAATTGGACAAATCTGCTACAAAAGACCTCTTTAAAGTGTTTAAGAACAAAGATATCACGTTGACAACTAAGGTGTCTGACTCAAGTCATAGTCTTTTCAACAGGTTCATATTCATAAGTCCTGCATATGAGTCCTGGTCTTTAGAAGACCACAAAATTGATCCATTTTAATTGTGGTGTTGGCAAAGAATATGGAATGTACCATGGACTGCTAAAAGAATGAACAAATCTATGTTGGAGGAAGTACAGCCAGAATGCTCCTTAGAAGCAATAATTGCCAGACTTTGTCTCTCATAATTTGGTCATTTTGTCAGAAGGGACCAGTTACTGGAGAAGGATATCATGCTGGGTAAAGGAGAGTGTCAGAGAAAAAGGAGAAGGCTCTCAACAACATGGACTAACAGTGGCTGTGATGATGGGCTCAAGCATGGCAGTGATTGTGAAGATGACACTGGCTGGGCAGTGTTTCATTCTGCTGTAGACAGGGTCACTATAAGTCAAAACTGACTCAAGAGCACCTATCAGCAACAAGAAGTTTTACCTGATCCACCTTGTCCCCTACTCCCAAATCATCAGAAGAAATAGCTTTGTGCTTATGTGACCTCTGGTGCTGTAGCATTTGACTGCTAGCCAGAATGTTGGTAGTTCAAACCCACCAGCCAGTCCATGCAAGAAAGACAAGGAAAACTACTTCTGTAAAGATTTACTGCCTCGGAAACTCAACGAGGGTCACTATAAGTCAGCATCAACTTGATGGCAATGAGTTTGGATTGGTTTGGATGCACAGGTTTTAGAGTGTCACCAGGTGAAATTAACATTTTATCTTCACCACCAATTGGGCAAGTGACTGAGGGTATGCTACTTTTCTATCCCAGTATTGTCTATCTGCAAAATGAGGATACTAAAAATCTACTTTATAGAAAGGCTATGAATAAAGTGTCTGACTTTAGCTCCTCTTCTAGTAGTTGTTGTTCTACTCACAACCTTTATTTGTTACCTTTATCTGACACTGCTTGGCATCTAGCTCTATCAACTAAAAGGTGACCCATAGAAGGTAGGGTATGTATAGTCATCTTTATATTCCTAGAGGTCAAGGCAATGCTTTACAAACATTAGGCATTCAACAAATGTCTGGAGAAATACAATGAACCAAGCTATACCTTTACCTAGCAGGCAGGTGAGAAGTCAGCACTCATCTACTGTTCAAGAAATACTGCTGACTGAGAGACTGTACAACTTAGTCCAAATAGAGGCTATGGAATTGCAGGCTTGGGCTCTGTCATTCTAGGAGACATTTTGCTGAGAAGGACTATTCCAGGGCCTCTTGCCCATCAGCAAGTGCCAGCACTTGGTATTTGCAGAGTAACTTGTTAAAGAAGTACATACGTGACAAGTTTCACAATCTGCTTGCATAATAGTGACACTAAGGAGAGTAGAAGGAAAAAGCCCAACTGGACTTTGAATTTTCTGGATCCCAAGCTTCTTAGATTCTGCATAAATAAACAGAAGTCCTGCCTTCTATTCAACTTAGGTTTTCTTTGGAGACTAAAGAAATTTAAGGAGCATTTCAGCTACTCTTCCTTTGAATGTATTCCAGAGCTATTAATAGTGCTCCTGGGGACCATGGTTAAGCACTTGGCTGCTAACTGAAAGGCTGGTGGTTTAAACCCACACAGTGGGACTGCAGGAGAAAGACCTGGTGAATCTGCTTCCATAAAGATTATAGCCTAGAAAACCCTATGGGGCAGTTCTACTGTCAAATGGGGTAAACTATGAGTGCAAATTAACTCAATTGCACCCAACAACAGCAACAAGCAAGTGCCCTCATCAAAAGCCTCACCTTCATCAGTAGTTCCCGGCTGGTCAAATGGTTATTATGGTCTGAGAAGATATCTGAAAGTTCTTCAAACATCAGCATTCGGTCCCTTAAAGAGAGAATTGAAAAAATATTAACAAATAATGAGTTAGTTAGTCTACTGATCTCAGGACCAATGGATACTAAGAGCACTGATGATGTCAATGATCTTGTTCATGCAAGGTGGCTTTTTTTTTAAAGGTAGATATAGCCACCTGCGTGGGTAGAGAGGGATATTTTTTAACCATTCATATTATTATCATAAAATAGTTAGGTTGGGACATTTAAATGTACAACTGGGACATGTCCTCTTCAGTAATTTTTTTAAATATCAATTTTAACAACACAGACAAAGTCTGATGGGACCTAAGAGGTCATCTTGGCCAGACCCTTCATTTTAGAAACAAAGATGCCAGGGCCAGGGCTTCTGCCAAGTGTCCACTAGTAACTGCTAAGAGTTCCAGGTATGAACCCAAACTTCCTGAACTGCAGCCCAGTGTTCTCATTCTCAGAGTCAGAGTGGAGTGGGGTACCCAGCAGAGCACTGGGATCAGAGAGGCTGGTATTCAAATTCCAGCTCTGCCACTTACTTCTCAAGTGATCTTGCACAAGCTCCTTAATTTTCTTGAGTTTCAGTTTTTTTATTTGTACAATGGAAATATGCTGGTGGCTCAGTGTTTAGAGCATTTGGCTGCTAACCAAAAGGCTGGTGGTTTGAACCTACCAGCAGCTCCATGGGAGAAAAATGAGGCAGTCTGCTTCTGTAAAAATTTACAGCCTTGGAAACCTTATGGGGCAGTTCTACTCTGTCCTATATGGTTGCTATAGACAGAATCACCTGAATGGCAGTGGGTTTCTAACCTCATAGCATTGCTATGAATGTAAGCAGGATCACACATGGAAAGTACCTACTCTGCCCTTGTCCCTTTCAAGTACACTACATCTCCATGAGCCTTATACTTTTCTCTGCACAGTCCTCTTAGGTCATTGAGTAAACTACTCTGAAGGCAGAGAATTAATGAGAATTAATTAATGATGTACCCCATCAAAAGTGGCAAACTTGCAAGACCCTGAAAAAAAAGGCAGTTCTGTGGAGTTCCTGCTCTCACAGGTTTCACTGCAATTAACCCACATCTTTCATAAGATACATGCATATAGGAGAATCTCTCTTTCACACACATGGTCACCCTGAGTATTCAAGCTAGTGCAGAGAGACAAGAGTCTGCAAAAAAAGAGTGGTAATCAAGAAAATGGTATTGGACTTTGGAAAGCATATGTGCCAGTTTTTCTACTGCTGGGTAACAATGCTGTAACCAGAGCACAAATTTCTGAACTCAAGAGACTGTGCTACATCCAGATCTTACAGCTCCGTAACACCAGGTGTTAAGATCAGCCACCTCAACTTTTTCAGATTCCATACACATCAAAGAATTCCCTAGTAAATGATTTGACGTCCCCCAAACAGACTTTGCTCAGGTCTACCAATCTTGGTCTCTCATAAGTTTGGACACTGTCAGGCCCTTGGGGTTTAATCAGCTCTGGTGAGTTGATGAAACTGTGTACCTAACCTTCCACTCTGAGGATTAACCCACCAATTCTACCTGGGCAGCCTTATGTAGGGAGCCAGCTGGCCTCTCTCCTGACAAAAATTGACTATACGGCGGACAGCACAGACTAGAAACAGTTTACATATCCTTCCCTGATACATCCTGACTTCCTGACTAGTTCAAAGCTAGGTAAAGTTATTGAATGTAGCTGGCCAAGTTGATAACCACACTCCAATCTCTAGGCTTTTAAATCTGCACTGATATGGCACCAAGACTATCCCACTCACTCACTGTTCCCTTGTTTGCAAAAAGTTCTTTGATCCACAAATTAAATTCTAGAAATTCTGCAAAAGAGGTTTTATGCTCTTAGCCAACAGGAATCTGGCCATAGTGAAATAATAAGGAAATTAAATCGGTAATCGGTAATTGTTTCCAAGATTACACCAAGAAACATGAAAAACAGCATCAAATGTGGCCAGCTAAATCATGTCTGCTAGGTACCTGGGAAAGAGCACCTAAAGAGGTTTTTACATCGCTATGATGGTGATTAATATACTGAAGCAGAAATTAACTAAATGGTTTCTGAGTGAACAGTGAGAACTAATGTTCTGTCTGCATGCATTATCCTCCACATACTGAAATAGCTCAGGGCTTTGGAATCAGGCTGAACAATAACAAGAAGTTATGGCTATATCCCTGTAACTCCAATCACTCCACAACCTTTAACCCTCAAAATCTAGGTAATAAGCACATCCTTAAAATCGTCCCAAAAGCCAAAAATCTTTACCTATCAACACATTTTGAGAATGAGCTTGATTTCTGCAGCAGCCTGGCCTCAAAACTCACTAATTTTACTCATTAAATATAAAATACATCCTGTCTGGATCATACTGTTTCTCTAGTTATACAATATGAGCTTTGAAGATGAGGACCCATAGCATTTATGCAGCAACTCAGCACCCAGCCAAAGATACACAGAGCAGACACCTGGGAACTTACTTAGGGACTGCAGCCCAAGTCTTTTTCAGTCGATAGATGGAATTAGACTGCAGTGCCGAAACGATGGCTCTCAAAGAGGAGAAATTCTTCAGGATTCTACATTCCTGTAGGAGGAGTGATTAAAACATAAAACACATTTAAATATCAATATTACAGTAAGTTGGTTTCCTGTTTTAGAGGTATCACAGCTGCTATGAATTCTTACCACTAAATAGGCAGCTGTATAAATACTGAACATCAAAAAATGGCTCCTTACTCCCACCCCAGTCACTGAAGCATTTTATAGATTTTGGCACTCTATGCTTGTTTTTCTCCCTTTAATATATTTTTTTGCGTTGTTGTTACATTTTTATAGTTTCCAGCTTGCCTAGCAAAAACACTAATGGAGGTGAGTCTGCACAGCCCTGCTAGAGAAAGCAAACTTTCTTCTGCTGAAAGCACACAGAGGCCCTAAAAATACACATGAAAGATCACTATATCCCTTAGGTCCACAAAGTGAACAGGGCAACAGTCACTCTGAGGTCAGATGATATTGAACATCTCATGACCAATCCCTTGTCCAAAGAGGTGTATATAATTTGGCAATAAAAGCTCACCACAAACTGAACCTTGGCTTTTATGCTTTTAGCCAAGACAGAGTATTTTTATACACATTCATTTTGCTTCAAATTAGCTTGTCCCACAACCATAAACATTCAGAAACACCTTGGTACTTCAATCCTTCCAAAATAACTTGGGTTTTAAAAACAAAATTCATTTTGGTGGTGTTTTAAAACTAACTAGAAAGAGAAGAGGAAACATTGTGGATGTCACATTCTGGGTAGAGAAATGTTCTCTGCTCCCAAAACTTAAGCTGCAATGTGGAGCCTATAGCACCAGCAGTCAGTGTCCTTGGGCATCAAAGTCCTACTGAGTGAATGAGAGGGACAGCAAAACAGGGTGAGGGTCCCATTACTTTCTGGGAATGGGCAGGTGGTAACATGGGAAGAGTGAATCATGCCTTATGTCAAAGGAGATGACACATATATGGGCACACAGGAGTGCAACATATCTAGTGTTTATAAGCAAGTGCACTGTGTGAGCAAGTATTTGGCTTTGTGCAGAACATCTGGGACAAGGGGCCCCAGAGTGGCTAAGCATAAATACACATTGCCTAGAGGATCATTTCATGAAGTAATGCAAACCCTGAGTTTGGAGGAAGAACAGCATTCTCTAACTTAGCATGGCTAAAACTGTGCCAAACAAACCAACCTCCAAATACTTTCTTTACTTTATAAAAGTCATGCCTGCCTTTTTAAAAAATGCCTCAGTGTCCTCCCTCCCCTTGTTCTTATTTAAAAAGAAAGGGGGTGGGGAGGCAAAGAATTCTGAATTACAGTCAGTCTGGACACCAAGCCTATGAGTACATGGTTCAACAAGGGTTCAGAGACTAAAAGCTATATTCTAAAAATCGAGAAGTTTGCAATAAAGGAACTCAGGCACAAATACTTCATGCAAATTGTAATAAACATATGGAACACATTATTCAAAAGAGGTTGAAGCTAAGGGTTTAAAGGTATCTGGCCTCACTTCCGGAAAAGGAAGTATCTTCCAGGGCATGTGATGCAAACATAGAAAAGTAGTATTAAGGCCAGTCCAAGAAAACTTAGTCATATTAAGTCAGAAATCTTTTGTGTGTATAAAATTGTTACCTTTTTTCAAACAGCCCTCAAGAGAAATTGGCTATGATTAATGTAGAAAAAGTAAAATAAGTCATCTAGGAAACCACCTATGAGTTTCATTATTTTAGTAACTTATCCTGCAAAATTTCAAAGACAACATACTCAACAGTAAAAAGCACCATCACCAAGAGAAGTATCTGTTCACTTCCGCATACGTGATAGGTATGAGTAGGCAACGGGAATATACCCATAACCATGTGTAAGTTTGGCAGACAATATTTCCACATACTTATTCACATGAGCTATTATTGTTGTTATGTGCCATCGAGTAGGACCCAACTCACAGCGACCCCTCCTTGGGTTTCCAAGGCAGTATCACTATGGAAGTAGACTGCCCCATCTTCCTTCTGAGGAGTGGCTGGTGGGTTTGAACCGTCAGCCTTCTGGTTAGCAGTCAAGTGCCTTAGCCACTATGCTACCAGAGCTCCAGGAGGCAAAGTTAAGACAGCCTCTTAGCCACATCCAAGCACCTTGAGGAAGTGAGTTGCTAGGCCTGCAGGCTCAGGATGACGGTTGTGGGGAACATCCAGCTCAACTGGCACAGCATAGCACACAAAAGCATTGTTCTGCATTCTACTTTGGTGAGTAGTGACTGGGTTCTTAAAAGCTTGCAAGTGCATCTAAGATGCAACTATTGGTCTCTCTTCATCCAGAGCAAATGAAAGTGAAGAAAATCAAAGACCCATGGGAACAATTAGTCCAAGGGACTAGTGGTCCATGGGAACTTCAGCCTTACAACTCTGAGACCAAAAGAACAAATGGTGCCCAGCTACCAATGCCAACCACTTGGAAAGGGATCAAAATTGGAGATACTGGATAGAGAGGAAGAAAAACGTGGAACAAAATTCAAAAACGTGAAAAAGACCCGGATTATCGGTTAGAGATAGAGATCGGTGAAAATTCTGAGACTATGGCCTCTAGTCCCCTTTCAGGCCTGGAACTGAGCTTAATCCTGTGACTTAACTTTAAGCCAAATAGTAGATAGGCCTAAGAGCCCAACAACTACTCCAGAGAGGTGCACTCCTTAGAAAAATCAACCATGGAAGATCAGAAGGGCAGCATTTGCACAGGGAGAAAGTTGGGGAGGCAAGAGTGCATAGGACAGAAGGCCACAGGGAAAATGTAACCACAGAGAAGAAGTAGGAAGAGAGCTGTTACATTGTGGAGACTGTAATCAATGTCAGGAAACAAAATGTATATGAACTATTGAATGGGAAATGAACCTGCTCTGTAAAATTTTACCCAAATCACAAAAGTTAAAAATCAATTATTAAAAAAAAAAAAAATTAAGGATCTGCAGCTTTTAGCACATACTATGGGATTTGGAATATGCTTCAAATTATTCAATCTGTATTTCTTATTATTACATAAATGCACAATTTATGTTTAATTTGGACCAAAACACATTGAGCCATATACATACTATATTCTTTCTATAGACTTTATAATCAGTTGAATGGATTAGCAGTAGGTAGAGCATTTTCTTTTGAGAAATAAATGCTATAGCATAGATAGCAAAAAAATACTGTCTTATCATTCTAAGAAGACACAGGGATTCCATGCTATATCATACTATGCTGTATCATACTTCTTTAGTAGCTCTTTCTTGTTGAGAAATAAGCTCAATGTGGACTAGGAGAAATGTAAGTTGCATACAACACTGTTTCTTGCTTTTTTATTTTTTCATATACAAAAATGTTTGACCACAAGCTTCTGCAGGACCAATCAATTGTGTGTTGTCATAGGAATGTCCCCAAAGTACATAATGTTGTAGCATATGCACCTCAGGAGCTCACAAAATATTTGCTGACCACGTAACTATATACTGTTCAAATGTCTTCAATCATGAAATAAGATGCTGTTTAGTGAAGGTCATTTGGTATATGCGGATCAAATCCAAGAGTCTAGACTCAGCAGAATGTAATTCAGGCCTAGGACTATACTTCTCCTCTCCAACTTCAGGTCTCAGGCCTACAGACCCAAGTTTAATGAAAGATGGGTATAAGCTTCTCAGTCCTTTAGAAAAGAGATTCAAGATACTGAGAATGTACCAGCTCTCCTGCTTCCAGGTACTCGAAAAGGACATAGCTAATAATTCTGGGTTGAAGAACAATGTTTGACACACAGACCCTCCCTTTATATTTCCTGAACATGGGGCAGAGACTGATACTCACTCTGTGGTAAATACAAAAGAAAAAACAGACAGAATGTCTCACCCAGGATAAGCAACAGTGCGGGGTCCATAAACAGAAACAAGTAAGCAGGGACCAATTTTTTTTTTTAAAGGGCATGGGGGCGGGGGGCATAAACAAGCCACCAAGTTAAAACAAAAAACAAAAAAAAAGGCAACTTTTCTCCTCATTTTGAAACAACAAACCCAATGAACTCTCAAGTGCAGACTACCTTTCAACCAAATAGTTAAACCACTGAAACAGAATGTTAGAGTTCTCTCCAATATCTACTAAGCCTGAAGAATATTTTAAAAAGACAATTACATGAGCAATGTTAATCCACTTCTCGATGATTTTGGCTCGCTGCTGCGTTTTGAGTTCTTTGCCCCCCAGAATGGTGCTGACAACACACTTGGTGAGGGTATTAAATTGAGAGATGGTAGCCCGGATTGTAGGAGCCAAATGTTTGTTTTCCTTCTTATCCCTTCGAGACCAGATGCAACCCAAGCAGTGGTGAGGCACTACTTTCTTGAATAGTTGCTAGAATAAAAGAAGAATTAAATGTAAGGACAGCACAGATACTTCACATGGCAAAGCTCATTATCTAGGCTACCTATAAACTGTTATTTGGTGAACAGAGAAATAACTCTTTTCAACGTTGTTTGCCTCATAGTGTAAATTTCAATAGACAAAAGTAAATAATTAATGTATTAACTGACCAGAAAAGCCCACATATTCTTTTCAAATCTATTCAATGGAGCAAATGGAACACAATGACCAAAAGAAATTCAAATGACCTAAAACATTTTGACTTTTCTGTCAAAATGACAACCAGGTAAAGTCTATACTACTTATCAATGATTTGAAATCAAAATCATATCCATGATGTGTTCTGGCACTATTGGTCATGAATCATCTATAATGCATGGAGGTGCTCCATGACCACCTGAAAACTGACCCACAGATGGCAGAACATGCAACAGGCATCATGGCACAATCTCACGTTATTCAAAATGAAGGAAATATGGAGTATACAAATGGAAAAACTATTCAGTATCACATTGTAAGAGGAAGAAAGAAGAGTTTAAAGTCTGGTTTCCTGGCTTTTCCTAGAAATAAGAACCAATGAAAGTTTCCATTTTCTTTTTAAGCTACAACTGCAGAAAAACTGTAACAAAAAATCTCTGAGCAAATCAGTTGCTGATTGGTGCAGAAATTCAATATAAGTTATGCAGGGGTTTGTTTAAAAGAGAGAACACTAGAATTGACATCAGATAGACTATCTGATTTACTTCTAATATCGCATTTGCATATTCAATAGATGGAAACTGCCACTTTCTATGCTTCTTTCTCAAAAGTGGTAGGTGCAAAAGAGCTAAAACCATTGTGATAATTCGTAATAGTTGTCTTTTCTTTAACTGGTATTTACCAACTAACACTGAGCTAGGAAATCTAACTGGCATAATCAAATATGTCCTGCTGAAAAAGTACTCAAACTCAAAAGCAGAGGAAGCCCACGTGGAAAGAACTGCCAGATACAGCCCCATGTGGATTCGGTGAATTTATTTTATCCTAACTTATACTCTGACCTCTTGACAGTCCTCCAAATAAATAGTGGAGATCTTGAAATATTTATGAGCTTAAAGGGAGAGAAATACCCATGGAGCAGGGTAGATTTTGTTTCACTAAGATTAGAATTCTTGTTTCCCCCTGTGTCTTGAGCTCTAAGTAAAAAGCACCATCACCTAGAACTGCAAGAAGAGCTTAGGCCTGAATTATTCAGACGATTGATTCAAGTCACATCTGAAGTCTGCATTTACAGGCAAAGCCTCTCTCAAGGATTCCAAAATACCTAAAGCAAACCACATGACCCCACCGCCCTCCCTGGGACACTAGCACCATCATTCCCCTACAATGTAAATGGAAGTATGTATGAGTTAGAGAGAGAGTACATACTGCATCCATATAGGTCAGCTGCTCCGCCACAAGATCTTCTGAGAAGAACGTGAATTCTGCTGACCCTCCACCCTCTAGTTCCTCTTCCTCTTCCAGGCTGCAGGACATGGTGTTGGGAAGCCCATCTGTTCAAGCATTTTAAAAAAAATTAGTATCTTGGTGCCACCATAGATGACTTACTTTGCTTATAGAATCAAAGTGAATTTCTTTCATTTAGGAAATAGAAAACTCAGTGGGAGAGAACAGAAAGTACAATAAATCTGAGTAAAACAGGTCTTCTTAAGCTCTTCTTGTTCTTAGATTTTTTTAGTATGCTTAGAGGCCTCATGCAGTCACTATGTAAAACCACCCTTTCCTAGGCCTAGGGCAGAGCCAGATCAGACAAAATCCAGAGAAGTAAAGCAGGGACTGCAAAACCTCTGATGGCTGCTGAACCAATCCAACTAATTCTTAAACTCCAGCCTCCTAATTCTTAATACTTATAACAAGAAGTCTGAAAGGCCAGAGTATGAAGACAGGCTAGGCTTTGGAGGACAGGATGGGCCATTTTGGTGTCAGAAATGCTAATGAAGTCCTAGAATTCTCAGAATGCTCAGAGTAACTTCCAGCTTCCACCTGAAGTTAATTCTGTGTGAAGTAGTGGTTAAGCACTTGGAAGCCAACTGAAAGGTCAGCGGTTCACACCCCACAGCTCCTCCATGGGAAAGATGGGGTAGTCTGTGTCCATAATGATTACAGCCTTGGAAACTCTAAGGGGTAGTTCTACGCTGTCCTATAGGATCCCTATGAGTTGGAATTGACTCAATGGCAATGAGTTTGGTTTTCTGTTTGAACTTCACTTGAGACTTATTATAGATAAGATCATCAATTAGCAAAGTATATAGGACATAGCCTGAATAAGTGAGAGAAAATCACTCCCAAGAGTCCAAATAAAAAGTTGAAGGAATATAGAATAGGACCCCAGGTTTCCATTTGGAAAGACTGTAGAATTAGAAGAAATTTAACTTGATTCTCCAGCCTCCCTTCTCTGGAACCTTTCCGAGTATTTCCCAATCGCATCTCCCTTCATAGTGAGTTTTCTTTCCTGTCAAACCTGTTCTCAGGGGGAAAAATCTAGTTGCTTTGGTTTTATCTTAGCATAAATTTTAAAAAAACGTGTTATTATTCCCCCAGAATGTTCGTATTTTTAAGGCTTTTCTCTCTTTCTTTGTAGAATAAAAGACTTTTAGGTATCTTGGAACAAGGTGCGGGGGGGGGGTGCTTTTCTTAGTTATCTCAGGGGAGAGGATGCTGAGAGTGGACTCTACATCACTCCTCCTGTTGTGGCACCACCTGCCTACTCTCGGGACAAGGACAAGATCCAAGGATGGCCTTCTCAGCCCTGAATTAAAGATATTGAGAGGGATAGGGGTGGGTTGTGACTGGATAAGGTAGAAGGGGATCACATCCTGCCTCCACATATGGAGCAGAGCCCTACACAAACTAAAGGAAGCTAACAGCTCATGACACAAATCTGATTTTACCATTTTTCTTCCATACAACTCTGGTATTCTCTCATTCCATAGAAGAATTAGAAATTTTAAATCCCAAACAACGGTTCAGAATGGCCCTCTCATGCCTCTTGCTAACTACTTGTTGTTATGTGCCGTTGAGTCAGACCCAACTCATAGTGACCCCTCCTTGGGTTTCTGAGGCGATATCACTACAGAAGTAGATTGCCCAACCTTCCTTCCGAGGAGTGGCTGGTGGGTTTGAACCGCAAGCCCTCTGGTTAGCAGTCAAATGCCTTAGGCACTGCACTAAACTACTAGATAAATATATTTCTTCCCTCATTCTGCAATCCAGAGACTAATGCACTTTAACCAAGGAAAGTATGTGCTAAGGTTTGATCTTCTCATTTATTCATCCATTCAGCATATACACAGTAGCCCTACTATGCACTAGAATGTAACTTTACCTGAAGATTATATGGTCCTGTCTCCCTCAGGAGGCCCAGTGCATGCATTCACTCTTCTTGGTTTGACTCTCTCCCTGATATAAAAAACCAAAAACCAAACTCACTGCCATTGAGTTGGTCCCAACTCATACTGACCCCTCCTTGGGTTTCTGAGGCAGGTGTCGCTAAGAAAGTAGATTGGCCAGTCTTTCTTCGAGGAATGCCTGGGGGGGAGGTTTGAACCGCCAGCCTTCTGGTTAGTAGTCAAATGCCTTAGGCACTTCACCACCAGAACTAAGTAAGTGAAAACCTGAAGCAAAGATTTACTTTTTAAATCACGTAAGAGAGCTAGGTAGAAGCAGCACATAAGTACCAAGCTCCTAAAACTCAGTAATGACCCATGAATTTAATAAACAGTTTATAGACAGTTTTGATTAAAATTTTCCAACCTTAGAAAAAATTCATTCTTGGGTATTGCCTAAAAGCCTTCCCAAAGTCAGGTAGTCCCCCTCGTCCCTGCTGCAGCCTGCCAAATGAGCATTGCCTCCCAGTCCCTGGGTAGGAAACAATGAAGGACTGGTCCCACTAGTTCCCCAATTAGGCTCAGAGCCAGGGAAAGGCCTGGGGGTGGGGGTAAGGGGGAGCTGGGCTCTGACACAGACACAGCCTTTTCCATTCCTGCACAAAGACAGGCGGGGAGGCCCTGAAGGGAGCTGAGGGCCGGCAGCTGGAGGAGTGCCCCTGGTATTCAAACATTCCCGGCAGATGAAGTCATCTGAGATACAGAGTACTTGGCAGCCAGCTCCTAAAGATGCAATTGCATTTCTCCCTCTTTAGTTCCCCATGCTTAAAAAATTCAACAGGTACCATTTGGAGTTTAAGGTTATTTTCTTTGGCACTGATGCAGCTTCCGTTATCAGTGTTTGGGAACCATTTCCTCTCCTTCACTGGGGACAATCAGGCATCACTTCAGAGAAACGCTTGTCAGAAGCTCCAAGTGGGTCAACCACCATGGCAACCATCACTCAGCACACCAGTGAGGTATAAAACGTCATGCTGGGAGCCTGTCCTAACCTCTTTCTGGCTTTCTTCAAACCCTGATAATTCCAAGTACCCCAAGACCTGCAGTGGTGGCCCTTCCTTTGTCCTTGAAAACAGGCAGTTGATTCCTCAAACAGGAAAAAACAGCCACAGAAACTTCCTTTAATGAGGCCATTAAAGACATTAAATAAACCATAATCTGCCCTGGCAGGGGACAGATAACAGTGATGCTTTTCTATGTGGAAGAAGAAATACCTTTTCTGTTTGTGTGAAGACAGGAACAGAACTGGATTTCATTCCTTGGCTGCTAAAGAGGGACCATGTCATTTGTGGTGGATTTTCATTTAATAAAAGTTGCAGCCATTAGACATTAAAAAAGCAAATCCACCTAATATGGCACATGTTGGCAAGGGAAGGTTAAAAAAAAATCATCAACGAGACTTCTTCTCTGTGGTAATAGAAGCCCTGGAAGACCACTTAACTTCTCTGACCCACAGTTTTCTCATCTGTAAAATGAGGGAAGCAACTAAGTGATCTTGAAAATCCCCTTCTTTGCTCTAAAATTTTAAGACTCTGTGGTTAGCCATGAGAACTTTACACCCACCCCAATCCTCTAGCAGCTTGGTTTCTGAAGAAAATAAGGTTTCTTAGTCAACAAGGACAGGGAGAACAAGTACAGGAGGTCAGAGATCAGAATCTAGCTTCTTCCCTGAGAACAATCAAGTACTCACTGTCAGTTTCCACTTCTTGCTTCTGAAACTGTTCTAGGAGATTTTGTGCTCTTCTCTCTGGGTCAGAGCCCGGCATCATCCGTTTGAGATAATCCAACAGTTTCTGCAAGCAAGGGAAGTGAGGGGGCTCTCGGAAGTCTTCAGCACACTGGTCAAGCCAGGCCCTCAGGATTGAGGCGATTGCACTAAGAGAAATGGAGAATCATTGCAAACTGGCTGTGGGGACTCAAAGCAAGTCCTGGATATGGCCAATCCAAGGCAGGCTCCAGGAAAACGAGAGCAGGTGGTCAACAGATAATTTGTCCAACGGTCCTTGGCAATGTCAATGAAATTAAGGCACTTGAAAACAAGCCTATTGCACATAATTATTTTAAGTGGTGGTTTTGAAAGGAGCAGGGAGGGTGTGGTGGGGCTGATAATGTTTTAGGGTTTTTTTAAAAAAAAAACTTTGGAAAAACGCATGCATGGCAGAAAAACACATACAGCAAAAGATTTCTAAGTCTTGTGGCAATCTCAAAGCAATCTGTACACAACTGAATAATGAGGTTTCCAATTCGGAATTTGTTCAAATTAGAGACCACAAAATCCACCATACTGATATTTTAGAAAATAACTGATTGTCAAAACCAAAAAACCAAACTCACTGCCATCGAGTCGACTCATAGAGACCTCTGCTTGGGTTTCCGAGGCAGTATGACTACGAAAGTCGATTGCCCAATCTTCCTTCTGAGTAGTAGCTGGTGGTTCAAACCCACCAGGCTTCTGGTTAGCAGTCAAATGCTTTAGGCACTATGCCACCAGACCTCCTAACTGATTGCCATCAGGCCATAAATCTATCTGATGAAAGGAAGTACCTGGGTTTAGAAAACATAACTACATAAATTTAATTTTATAAAATTCACCAGGGTTTCTGCATGAGCATCAAAAATGTTCTCACAAAATTATCCTTTTGTTTCTCAGATTCCTAGAGGGACCATGTTTTGTGTTTGAGGAATAGTATGGAAGATGAGTTAGGTCTTTGAAAGACAGTTAAGTGGAGAAAAGCTTGATGAGCAAATCCATCTCAAAGGCGATTTTCCCTGAAGGCTCTGAAAGTCACACAGGGTCCATCCTGGGTGAAACAAGGTCTCAGAGCAAAGAAAAATACAGGGTCACTGTGTGCACAGCTCCCTCCAGACATGTTACTAGTAACTTGAGCATGTTTGTTTTTAGGTTAGAGGCAACCTCTCACTCAAGAGGCAAGAACAAAGAGCTGAATGATAACAAGGATAAAATGTTTTAAGTGCTATTATTCTATATATCATATTCAAAGACTACTTTGCAGACACCCTTGGGTCAGGTACAAGCTAGGCTGTGTTCTATGGAAAAGAACTTTGCTCTCTCTATGTTGTCATTATGTGCCATCGAGTCAGCCCCGACTCATAGCGACCCCTCCTTGGGTTTCCGAGGCAGTATCACTACGGAAGTAGGATTGCCCAACCCTCCTTCTGAGAAGTGGCTGGATTGCTCGCTCTATAGACAAGTCATATTCATCCACAATGGTGGCTGGAGAAGACAGGAACTATAATCAATGCACGTCTCATCAACATAGATGTAACACCTCATCTTAGCCAAAGAACGAACTAGCTGACCAAAATTTCTCAGCAGGAAAAAAATATTTTAGCAAATCTAAAAATTATTATCAGATTATACATGAACCAAGTTACTTACTTAAACTATAACTAGGCCAAAATTCATTATTATCCATATATGTAAATGTGCAGGCTGGGCTTTCACAGGAGTCTCTAAATTTCACATCTCCTGATTTCACATCAAGGAAGTGGAGGCATAAATATGATGAAAGTTTATTTAACACTTAACTTTTGGAACTGAAGTACAAACAGAAGGAAAATAAATTTCTTAACTGTATTTTGCTATTGCAGACATTAAAGCATTTGGAACTATAATATTCACATATGTACATCTGACATAGATGATATAAAACCATGAAATAAAAGTTGAAATTAAAAGTGGCAGAGATAATTCAACACTACCAGGGATGGGAGGGGAGGGGATGGAACACTACCCCCCCCAAAAAAAAAGCATTGACCCATGTCACTTTATTTGTGTAGTTAACTGTACATACATTATATTTCAGTAAAATTATTTTAAAAAAAGAAATAATTCAATGTTCTCTAAATCTTTAGTCTAGATGGAGCAGTACCTAAGCCACATGACTGCTAACCAGAAGGTTGTCGGTTCAAACCCACTCAGAAGAAGAAGATTGCACAATCTACTTCCGTAGTGATAAGCCTCGGAAACCCAAGGAGGGGTCACTATGAGTCAGAGATGACTCAACGGCCCATAACAGATTAAATTAAATGATAAAGATTTAATTCCCTTCCAGAACACTAGAAGATGAGTATGGGCTTCCAGAATTAATTTTAAATGTAAGTACAACGAAATCAATAAACTTCTGCTTTTGAGGACACACACATAGCATTCATTATTTCTCCTTTCTTCACCAAAACCAAATATCATGAATTGAAAAATAAAATGATGATGGAACATTCTAATACTTGATTTTCATAAGGGATGTGACTTTTTCTATGCAGAGCTTCCCTTATTTCCTAATAAACACTGAGCCCAGAACCGTGGTGGGCAATGGGGGGCTGGCCTAGAACACTGGAAACCTGATGTTTATTTACCCATCAGTCTGACTCTGATAAAACAAGCAGCTTTCCACTCCTCAAAAGAGGGGTGAATTAATCTAATTAACACTATTGCTCATGACTTTCACACTGGCTTTCTTAGTATTTCAAAGACAGAATACTCTTCCCATGACACTGACAGAAAAACATACGGAGAGGTGACAACAAAAATTAAAAAAGTATCAGCCAATGTGATAAGCAATCTAATGATGCCTCAGCATTTCGTAACAAAAGAACACCCGGACAGAAATTCAAAATTACTGGTAAAAGAGAGTGATATTAACATATCATTTACTCCTTTACTACTCATAATTGTTAGTTTTAAAATTATACAACTGACTACTTATTTGGGATAAAAAAAGTAAATACTACAAGTAAGTATAAACTGAAAAAGCAAAACATCTGCTCCCACTTCCTGCTAATCCCATTCTAATAACCTTTTGTTAACAATCTCGTGTATCTCCTTCTAGACTTTTCTATGGAGAAAAATGTAAAATTCTAAATATACATATTTTATATGTAATTATAAATATACATATTTTATACTTTTCTACAGAGAGAAGTGTTGTTGTTGTTATATGCCGTCGAGATGGAGAAAAGTATATAATTCTAAAAACACATGTAATTCTAAACATACATATTATATATAATTCTAAATATACACATGTAGAATTTAATTTTAAATATACATACTTAGAATTAAATATACTATATATATGTGTGTGTATATTTATATACTACTTCTAGATCTACCTTATTATTTCTTATGGTTACATAGAGTGGACACACTGTAATCAATATAAAAATTCTTCTACTGATAGACAAATATTTTAAGCTATTTTCAAGTTTTCACAATTATAATTACAAAAGGTGTATCTTTGTTCACATCCCTGTGTACTTGTAAGTCTCTGTAGGGCAGACTGTGTAGAACTTACTTCCATGGAAAGTTGCAGCCTTGGAAGATCTAAAGAAAGACCTTAGTCCATTGTGAGCACCCATTTTGTCCTCCTCAGTCTGCTGTTTTTAACTAGCTCTGGTAACCTGCTCATTTAACCTTTATGACAATGACCTTCCCACAGCCTAAGATTTTGAAAGTTCACCACAAATCCAGACAATGAATTAGCCAGAAAAAAAAGCACTTTCACACAAAAGAGGAACGATGGGGGGAGGAAGAAGAAACAGGAGAAGGAAAAAAAAAAAAAAAAACACATACACAAACAGCACAATAAAACATGCTGCAGACCCCTGCCCCCTATCAGCAGAGTGCCAATCAGCATGCCAGGGCCTTTCTGGAAAAGCCTGGGCATGTGCCCAGAGCTCACAGTAGCTTTATGTTTGCCGGTCCTGGGAAGAAACTTTTCGTTCTTGATAGACTAAGCAGCAGATATAAATGTGACACTTGTAAGATTTCAAAAAGGAAAACAAAATCACAAAACCATGAGAGAGAAAACCCTGAGTGGCTAACGGCTTTCTTATCTTACCTTTCCTGGCTCTGTCCCTGAGATCTCACCCATATCCTAGCTAGGACAGAGTGGGGGAATGTAAAGAACCTTACTATCCAAGGGGAATCCTGTTTGAAGTCATAAACTCACAGGGAAGGTATGGCAGTTAGACTAGGGAAGCTACTTGGCTGTGTGCACAGAACAAAAGAAGAGGAGGCCCGGAGAAGGAAAATCCAGTTCCTCACGCTAGCTGTTAACCAAGGGAGCAAGGAACCCCCCTGACCCTGGCCTGTCTTCATCTACCTGACAATGATCAGTTATGGTTTCCAATGATATAATGCCAAAAAAGACATTTTGAGATACCAGGAGAGAAAGGTCATTTTTTAACAGTCTTACAACCAGTTGCCATAAATCACAGAAGAAAGGGACTGAAAAAGGTAAAATGACTCAGAAAAAATCAATCAGCACTTATGGAAATCAACTCAAAGAATTTGTCACATTTCATAGAAAGAGTAACACAGAATACAACCCCTGATAGAACATGCATGACTCCGGGCAATCTCTGTGAACAAACATTGCATGTACTGTAAGCGTACATATTCATACATGCCCCCATCCCACTCTGCGGTCCCGCCTCCCAGGCATCCTCTCTGGGACTGATCCTGGGCAAATGCAGGGGCACTGAACTGTGACAAAAGCTGTAAGAGCCGACTCTCAAATGACTTGTTAAGACTGAAAAAGTGAATTCCAAAACAAAATGGAAAGATTACAGTTGTGACATGACATAATCCAAACTCAGAGAATAAGCCAGTATGCCAGTATATGACTTCCTTTTCCAAAGTGACGTCTGTGGGTTATAAAGGAAAACTCCTCAGACTCAACAGACGGTGCATCTGAGTAAGTAGGTTGGATAGGTGGCCAAGGAGCAGGAACTGAAAACTGATAGCACAGGAGACAACCAGGATTGTGTTTTCTACCTCAGGCATTCTTGGCAACTTTGTGCGAAACTTTATAGTACGTGATCCTTTTCCCAATTTATTCCAATGGTTTGTA